ACTTACTTCGAACCAACGAGGGGGGTTTGTGTTCAAAATGAAGCCCATGATGAAGCCTCATGAGATGAACCCTTTTGCGTACCAATTGGCTGGAAAGCTTCAAAGCTTCATTTCGCCATCACGAGATATTGGACCCCAAAGCAAAAGAATTAGAGAGAGAGATGATCAAAAACACAACGTTTATTTTAAGCAGAGGCACAGTTAACGGCAGTGGAGGCAGGAAGCTGGCTGGCACGGAGACAGAAAGGACAGGAGACAAAAATCAAGGCGTCAAGATCACAGGGACGAGGAGAAAAGCGAGACGCAGGAGGGTCGAACACGACGGAATTATCTGGCAGGGAAGTGGCATGAGGACCGGGCTTTTATGTCAACAGGTTAAGGTGAGTGAAAACAGGTGTGCCTCGTCTGCTGCTGGGAGGAGCCAGCCAACTCCCTGTCACACACCAGCCCTGCAGTGAAAAACAGAGAAGGGAGGGGGGAGACAGAAGAAAACACAAAAGAAGTACACAACAAAACCAAAACTAAACAGAATCATCACAATTTCTCAAGAATATAAATGTCTTTCCGTAAATTAATCAATTTTCACGATTACATTGACCCTATTTTCTTCCCAAGAATAAAGGTGTTGTACATATATAACAGCTTCTAAAGATCTTACTTCAACATTGTAAATTATGTTTGTTATTTTAAGCAGGAAAAAAACCTCTTCCATCAAATACAATGGGACATCCCAACTTATTGATCACTCAAGTACAGAATCCTATCTGGTAGATCATTTTACCTTTCATGGCAGAAGGGCTCACTGAACAAGCGCTTGATATAAGTGAACTGGGATGTAAATGTCCCAGTATCACTTCCGATTTTTCGCACCAAGGAAATGACTGATGACTGTTTTTCTGCCCGACTGCCACAGTGGGTTAAGACAAGGGGCTTTATGATGCATGGATATCCTTCATAACTAATTAACCTTCATACCACACTAATTAATTAGATTCCAGCAAGGTCAAGCTTTCTAAATGGGACAATTAAGTGCCTTCCTCATACAGTATTGCACAATAAAGAGCCTAACAAAGAGACAGGACAGATGTCTCTTCTTTACAGAGACGTTGGTCAAAGGTTTTACACTTTTCACTTACTATGTAAAATATCATTCTTGTGACATGTGCATATGTTATCTGGACCAGCATTGAAGTCTTCAGTTTAACTATGGAAGTATATATATATATCTATTTATTATAAAAAGATGGCAAATACATAATTCCAGCCCTGTCTGGACTACTGGACAGTGGACAGTCCTCAGGTTGCCACCTATGGATCAAAGCATGTTAATATGAAGGGAAGAACAAAAATATGTAAACCAAGGAGAGACACCAAAATAGGAGATAATGTATGGTGTGTTCATGTCATAACACTAAAAACATGTTTTTTTATTCTGAACGTGAATCAAATGTGACAGTGAGAGAGGATGGATGGGGTGAGAAGTTCAAAGAACGGATAAGAAAATAAAAGAAAAACACTGTGGTCTTCATCAACCCATATAAAGGCTGTGTATAGCAGCACAATATTCAAATGAAGCATGGTAATAATGTGGAGATGGGAGCATTCTGTGGGCCAAAGAATGTCTTAACAGCACATTAGAGATTTCACTAATGATAGTGGTAGTTGCAAAGCAGTTAACATTAACACACATTTTCATTTTCTTTGAAATACCTAACAGAGATATTCAAAGAAAAAGACATTGTGAACTAGAGGATGTGAGAGTCAGGAAATTAAGCGTGCTTGAGAACACACACACATTTTCACATGCGGGCATAATGGACCAGTTGGACAGGACAGCTTGCTTATGCTCAGGAAAAGATTATCGTCAAATAATGACAGAAACAAATAAAAGTTCTCTCCCACTTGCACACACACTTAATCCTTTACATATACATATGTATATACACATGCAAGTACAGTATGTGTGCACATTTGCATATAGTGCACAAACATATGAGCACACAGAGGAGACAGTGGACAGTGGAGTAGGTATAATTTAAAAGAATATCCCCCCTGTTCACTTGAGCCCATATCTGACTAACAGTGTGGAACCAGCCAAATGTGGCAGCCAACTGTTCCCCATCCTCAGGCTATCCCTGGACTTGGCCCGAGTACAACAAATGTTATCATCGTAGTGTGCATTTCTTTGTGTGTGCACACTGGAGAGGGACCACTGAGAATAGTGGGTCTGTCAGATAAAGATAAGTATATTTATGGAATTGTAGAAAGTAATGTGGTTGTGTGTAGAGAAATTACATGGCATCTGCTCTTTCCATTTATTTATGTTGTTGATAGTGGATCAATGTCACGTCTTCATATAAGTAATGAAACAGTTAGTTAATTAATCTGTTGTACCAAAATTAACATGCAATTTTGGTATACAGTATGGCTAGTCATTTATCAAATGCGGGACATGATTGGACCAAACATGCGTGTGTGTGTGTGTGTGTGTGTGTGTGTGTGTGTGTGTGTGTGTGTGTGTGTGTGTGTGTGTGTACTGTAGGTGTGTGTTCTACAGACTTCTAACTGTGCATTTGACAGAGATTAATAAGCAGTAACCCCATTTTTGAACTACCACAGGGCTGTAACCTTATATTTTACACAACCCCACATAAATAAAACCACAGGGTGCCAGTTACTTGTACAGAAAAAAGATTCTTCACACACCATTAGCATACTGGAAATCGAAGACAGAAAGAAACCAGTAGATAGGCAGAAGGAGTAAGACAAAATGCTGTTTTCCCCATTTCACTGGGGTCACTTTGTGAACCAAATTCTTCCAGATGGTGTTTTATGACAATTTTTTTATTTATTTCTAGGGAGTGATGTAGTTAGATGACATGGCTGATGAGAATGATTCTAAATGTTAAAGCACCCAGGGACAAATTAAATCCACTTAAGAGTGCAAGGTTAAAGATTCTATTACACAATCTGTTTAGATCCCAGTAAGCACTGCCGGTTTTAACATAATGCCCTTCTCAGTGTTTAAAGACATTAACATTTTGGGAAATAGACCTGCTGTCTTATTGATACTGAGATGAGATCAATTTCAACTCTGTGTGGTTAATTGAGTGACTGGTCGAAAGACATTTAGGTAGGTTTAGGCAAAAGACTGGCCCTCTAACAACTCCAAAGTTGGTATATTTTGTAATATTGTAAAACGATAAACTTTAGTTTGAGATATCTAGTTAGCTTTAACTTTTAAAATGTGCACTTAACTGTATGTTGATAAATAAGATAGCATACACATACCATTTCTGTAGCTACAACCTGAATGTAAGGCAAACACCAACAGAAGGTAATATTATTTTATGAATTACCTGCCTCAATACTGAAATTTAGTTAATAATCCTCATGTCAATCTGATACTGAATGTAATATAAGATACAATATAATCACAGTTTGGCTAAGGTTGCCCAATTGGGAACTATTTATTGTTTCGTAAATGCAATTTAACCAATATGGAGACCCTTCCCAAAATAAAATCAAAAAAAGAAATGTGCCTGCTGTTGGGAACTTGTAGGTAGGTTATCAAAGGCGAAGCGGGATAGCTATTTACTTTCCACTTTATTTCCACTGTATTCTTTAATAAAACATTACTTTATTAGCCATAGCTAAAAAGTTAATTGAAGCTAATTAGAAGAAAAAAACCCTTGTTGGTGCAACCCAGCTTTATAAGAAACCTGTTTAGTTCAGCCTTGTCAAGTCTGTTTAAGTGTTCCCTCAATGGTATGGTCTAGTGCATAATTTCTATAACATGTTTAAGTCTATTATAAATGTGTAACCTGGTGAAAACCAAAGAAAGAGAGAGAGAGAGTAAAAGTTTGATAGTGGATGGGTGTTGGCAAGGGTAATTCGAGAACAACAATGCATTCTATTCATGCCTCCACCAGGGAAGTCCTTTAACACAATGCGTTGGCCCACAGAGACTAAATGCCACATCTCCAAGTGTAATTTATTATGGAGTGAAGGTAGATAATATGGATGCCCTGGCTCACACAGAAAACAATGTGTTATCCAGTTACCATCACACACAGCTAGCACTGCAAAATGCTTAGATTAATGATGGTCCTGTTCAGTCTATATGCCTTATACATTAAAAGCCAATGGAATGCCTGTATTAGTGCTTATTAAGAGGCCAGAGATGAAGAGAAGAAGAGGTGGTTAGTGGGAGATATGAGGGCATGAGGAAGCAAACAAGAACATTAAAATAGAACATATGTAAAAGGAAGGGGAAAAGAAATGGAACAAAACAGCAAATGGAAGAAATAAGTGAAAGACATACAACGGGGAAGCTGAGACCTAAAGGGAGAAAGTGAATATTTCATTAGACACTGGAAAACACCCAAGTGGTTTCAGAGAGCACACCAAATTAATCAGAACAATATACATAGATGCTGCAATGCGTTTATTATTATCAGAGACCATTGTGTTGGATTAACTATAAATTAATGTCCATTACTAACAGGGTTCACAGTATATACAATAAAGAACATAATCAGGGGACACGTTTATCTCCCACATTTATCTCCCATAATGACAAGAAGTCATTACAGCCATTGCCATTAACATAGACAGTAGTTTCCCTTGTTAACTAGTCAAGGAGTGAC